AACAGTTTGGTTTTCATGCATTTTTCATAACTTTCACAGGAACAGTCTCTGTTTGCTTGCAGGAGGGGTAAGGGTGCATTGACTCTCCAGACTCCACTTTGGCGAGAGCCCTAAGCATTGTGCTGCTTTTTATATATAATTAAGAAATTTTACATCCTGAATTATTATGCTTGATCAAATATAGAAAACAGAACCGTCGATTTCTTTTGGTACTTTTATTTGTATTCTTGGTCAAAATTATTTCCGCATTGGTGCATATGGTGATATTACTATATATAAACCCTGTAGCTTAAAACTGTTTATGTTAAGTTTTATCTCTCTGTGGAACTCAATGTGACTTGGAAGGCTAAGTGAGTTAATGATTGTAAAAAAAAAATGTAAATATGATGAATCAGAACCAGTGGGGTTAGTTTGAAGGTTAGACATACTCATAGAAGAAAGCTAGTCCATGTGTTATGGTGAAATTAAGCATCAATAGCTTAATAATTCTGGTTAAGGATAATTGTGCTATGAGTTCTTTTTCCTATGGTCACTTTAGAAACTTTCAATTGTAGGTGCCTTTTTTGGATTGGTTTGTGGTACTTCAATCGTTTAATGCATATATCTGTCTTTTGCAGATTGATGGTTTTGAGAAAGAAAAACAAGTAATTGTTATAGCTGCAACAAATAGAAAGAAAGACCTTGATCCTGCTCTTATTAGGTAATAATATTCCAAATGTATTCCATATTTAGTTGATTTACATTTTTCAATTTTTATGAATTTTAGTCTAGCTAAATTTTAATTCAGATAGTCAAAAGCAGCCTGATGAATCATAGTCCTTAATTTCTCATCTTTACTTCTAGCCGCTTTGATTCAATGATTTCATTTTCCCTACCGGATCAACAAACCCGTGAAGGAATAGCTGCTCAATATGCAAAGCATCTACTCAAGACAGAAATAATTCTATTAGCCGCAGCTACGGATGGGTAATGCACAAGTCAAACTTCTTTTCTGTTTTTTTGTATTTCCTAATTTAATTTAATTCATTTTATTTTCCTACTGTGGTTGTAAAGATGCACATTTGAGTTTAGTTCATCTAAGTAGATAGTGTTCCTAGTGAGATTCATCATTTCGGGTATCGAACTTGTCTTGATTATTTATTGGACTAATGCATATTTGTCAGCACTAATATATTAACACAGTATGTCAGTATACCCTAGTGTTTTGATGATGAATAAAAGGAGGGTGAAGAGGAAGGAACGATGGAGACACTGCAGAAGAAGGTAGAAGGAAGAAGGAAGAAGGAAGAAGAGGAAAGTTATGGAGGAAGAAGAAGAAAAAAGAAGAGGAGGAGAAGCAGCAGCAACGAAGAGGGCAATGGCATTGTATGTGAGAAACATGAGCTTTAAATTATCTATTTTAACACTGAGTTAGATAGAAGCCTACCATTTTTTATTTTTATTATTTTAATCAGATCATTTGAAACGAGGGTGGTCCTTGTATCGACTGGTATGTACCTTATCGTTTAGGGTGGTATAGTAGTCATCGATTTCTCATTTACATGAGAAGGGAGATGTGAAAATTTTTTTAGTGAGGTAATTTTGTATAAAAAGTCCAAGAAAAATTAGGTCAACTTTGGAAGGTAAACTTATGTCAATCTTACGTAAGATTTCAAATGATAAAGGCTTATGAAAGTTGGATGAAGATATTGAGTAATCATAATTGACTCTTACCTTCTCACTATGTTTAGATGATTTTTAGATATAGTTAAAATCATTTTTGATTTTAATATTAGGAAACAGTTTGAATAAGTTTAATATAGCCTCGGGCTTTTCTCTAACTATTATCAATTTTTTTTCTTCATTAGCAATGTTAATATAATATATATTTGCTAGATATTCAACAACTTTGTTTTGTAGTAACCTAATCTTAGTCATATATCAAGTGCAGAATAAAGCATAGAAACTTTTCGGAGATATAGATCATATAGTTTTGGGTTTAGAGATCACGTCAGGGCCTACAACACATCCTTGTGAATCTTTTGCAATGACGATAATGACCTAACAATTTGAAATATGTTTGGACCCCACATCCACCGGTTAGGGATCTTGATGATTTGATAGCTATGGAATGTTTGTGATTTGATAAGTATGTTAGGATTTAATTAGATAGATTATAGCATCCCAATTCGATTAGTCGTTGATTCAGCTATGTGCTAGACTTCGACCAGTATGTCACAATCCACCAAAAAAATAAGAATACCTTTTCTCGGGTATAAGCTACATTTTTGAGTTTCAATTATGATATTTTCTTTGAACATTTAAGAGGATTGAATTTGTACCTTTTACTTAGACATGCATTAAACGATCAATTTCATTCAATTTATAGTTCCTATTATTTTTACTTCTGAAGTTGAACTGGTTGATGACATCTGGTAAGCTGTAATTCCAATTGATTCTTTTGAAAACTAGAGTGTACGTTTAGAAAAAGGAAGGATTGAAAACATAGTTTTATGGAAGACATGCCTTAGTGTTCATAAGAAGATATTTTTCCTCTTCTGCATTCTTTCTTTCTTATAATATCTTAAATTATGTATATCTTATTCCCCTTTATTGCATGTTTGCTTTTCTATACATATCATGTGTAGAATGTCTGGAAGAGATATTAGAGATGTCTGTGAACAAACGGAACGACATTGGGCATCAAAGGTATGGCTCTTATCAAGATGTTCATCTTTTTCTGTGGCTTCGGTACTTAGTGTGAGTTAATGCTTATGGTAGCTGATAAGAGGCCAAGCACCAAACGATGCTACTCGAAGAACAACGAAACTTCCTCCTATCGAGGAGTATATTAATAGTGCTGAGCAGCGGCGTGAAGCTTTGTTGTTGGATATTTCAGGGGGTAACAAATGCCCTAAATCTTGTATTTGAAAAAGTTTTAGTGGATTAGTTAATGAAGGTGAGCAACATCTCCTGTAGAGAGTTCAGTTCAGATAGATTATTGCAGTTTGATCCTCAAATAAACATCTAAATAAAGGGAACATAAGATTGACTTCATGCATCATCAGGGATAACTTAATATCATTGTTTGTTGAATACAAAGACATAGGCTTCTCAAAAAGTTGTAATTAGCTTTGGTCAGCAGTTTATGTTTAATGTTTTAAACAACTTTTTTAACTATAGTCCCTGTCTTTGGAATATCTGTAATTGTCAAATATGTGTTACATGTTTTTGGAGTCATTACTAACAGAATATTCTTCTTTTGTTTCTATTCAGATTTGACAGTTCCATTTAATATTGATCATCAATTTGGAGGTATTCTGTTTCATATGGAAAAGCATGCTTTTATATTTTATTTCAGCATTTTAGCTAAAACAATTGATAATTTTTTTTAAAGGAACTTTTCATTCAATTAGAAGAAATTAACAATTGTGATAAGAAAGAGCACCATAGCTCATCGGTACTTAAATGTTGAGAACCCAGATATTCTATAAAAAAAAAGTCAAATCATGAGCTTAACGTTTAAAGGATCCGTGAGATAAAAGAGAAATTAGGTTATATTAAGAATAATATTTTTGAGATACAAAGTCGATTCTTACAAGCCAGTGATATGGTTGACAATAGATGAGACATCCATGCGGATGTTACTTTGGTGCTTAAACTTGACTTACTTTGTACCCTCCAGCAGAGTCATGTCCTCAGCAACTGTAGGGTTGTGAACCAAATGGGAGAAACAATCAACATCTAAGAGTGAGTGATATTAGATGCAAAGGTGAAGACTATGCCCAGGCACATATGAAGGTTAGGAGTAGAAAAAAAGTCATTGTAATATAAAATAAGAAGAAAGTAAAAAGGAGGGGGTATAGGATTCTAAGGATTTAGTATCCTAGAATATTCAGATATTGGTCCATAAGAGATAATTTAAAAAAGGGAGAGAAAGAGAGAGACATAATCTGGCCTCATTCCTAACAAGCCAGAGACACCAGAATGAATAAGAGATACAAGAGCAAGGATCCAGTTAGCGGTATGTTTAGGGGAAACCTTGCCTCTCAGTTAGCTAGGAACTAGTAGCCCAACTATTGTAGCATTTTAAATAAATACATATCTTGGCTTGAAGGAGGGACTAAAAGGAAAGAGTCATTTCTTTTCTTTATAGTTGACTCAACTTTCATAAGTTGGTGGGCACCACTGGAAGACAATAGACCAAAGGGTTAGGCTGCTAAACCCAAACAAAAATCATCATAAGGTTGATGACTAAGGGTATAAATTCTTTAAATTCTCTTAGTAAAAAAGGAGTGAAAAAAGAGAATCTAAAATAGAGTCAATCTAGTCATTAGAATCGAAAAATTCAATTACAAAACTAAAAAACTTGTCCGTTCTGTCCACATTAACCAAAGTCAAAATTGTTAATACAAGAGTTGGCTCATATATCTATAGTCTTACCATGGCCAGTAATCTTTTAGAAACCATATCTTAAGCTAAAAAGGGAGCCGGTAGATATTTCTTCTCGACTAGGAGCGAAGTATTAGAGTGATATTTATCGCCATACTTGGCTTTTAGTATTTGGATTCAAAGAGAGCTAGGGTTGTTATTAGAATTTGGAGTATGTACTTAGCACAGATTGAGTTCTTGAGAGTGATGAGATCCTTAATTCTATGACCTCCACTATTCTTGGATTAAACAATTGTGTTCCAACTGATCAAGTGTATATGAGTCCAGTGTTTCAAGATTGAATCTGAAATATTGCTATTAAAGATGAAGTGAGTGGATGATGGATTGATAAGCACTAGTTTACTGACTCCGAAAATTATGCCCCTTATAATACCACTCTTAGATTTTTTTTGAGAGGACTGTATCCACTAAAGAGCTTTGGCTACTGGGAAAAAGGCAACCCATAATATTTGACGGATGCTTAAAGCATTGCAAACCGAGTATTTAGTACAAGGGGGACAATATAATAATAACAAAAACAATTAAAAAAAACAAGTCAACTACATGATTTTTTTTTTTTTTTGCAGCTATTGGGACAATATATTCACTATTATTACCATTTAGAACAAACAACAATAGTTCTTTTTCATGAGCACATATAGAACACAAAAAAAAACTGAAAAGAGATGAAAGGTTTCGGCACATGAATGCGGTATTCATGCTCTAACCAGGATTTCATATACGTTGCCATTATTTTCCCCGCTTACTCTCTTCAGTGTTTCGAAACTTCTTCGGCTTCCAAGAAAATCTATACGTTTGAACGTCAAAGCTCCTTGTTCCACTGATTCTTTGCTTGTATAAAGTGATCGAAGCCGATCAGCATGCCTCGAGTCTGTGTGCATTGCCAGGTTTATTTCTTCTGCCGACATATTCTCCTGAAAAACACAAGTAACAGAAACACAAGGTTATTACGAGACTGTATAATTTCCTTTAGATTAAAAAAAAAATCCAATTATTTTGAGATAAAAATCACTTAGATGGTGTTCAACCTATGCTTTGTGTTCAACCTATGCTTTGTACAAATTTCTGATCAAAAGTATCTAGAATTAATGTGAGTTATCTACATTTGTTGTTCCTCACAATTCCTTGAACAACAGCATAGCACGCCTTGACAAGGAACATCACAAAAAGAAAATTAAAGAAACACAAGCCTTAATTTAAAGTCGTAAACCATGTGCTCACCTGATAAAAGTTATAGATATGGTCCAGAATCTGTACAGATGTAAAACCACCATCACCATAGAATGTTCTTGACAAGGGACCTAGTTCACCAAAGCGATCGACCGGGAAGAGTATAGTGAGGAAGTGACTTTTCAAGATTATTTCCATCTTCTCGCTGCAACCACATGGATTCAAGTAAAGACCATCAACCAAATTCAAGAGATCCGGCCAACAAAACCAAAAAGTGAAAAGAGGCCAAATGTTCTTACTAAATACCTTTCTCTTAGTGGCCGTGAGAAGTTCTCCAATAATGCTTCAGAATCCTTACCATCACCTCTTGCATTAAAGTAATCAAAAGAATGTTGCTCACTAGTGTCTTCTGTTGAAGACGACTCAACATAAATACGGGCAGATGAGGTTGGCTCAGACACTGTCCAGCAGATTGATTCCAAAAGGTTGCTGGGAGTGATTGGATGAATTGGAACTTGACATGACTGAATTCCAGTGGATAATGTTGTCCATCAATGTAAAGTCACTTAGGTAATTTTTGGAAAGAAAGGATTAAAAACTTTCAAGTTACATAATAGAATTGTTGCAGCTTCTGATGCATAAATGAAAATTTTAAACATGCAAACATTACTGGAATGTATCATAACTTGCTTATGCATTGCGATGACTATAGGCAATGATTCTCATCCATGCATTGGTTAAGTTCAAAAGGATGCCATTTTTTAATCTTATTTCTTTAATATTCAATAAAGAAAATAAAAAGAATATTTATCCCAAATGATACCACTCGAGGAGGGTGGAGAAGAAGCAACAGGACCACAAATAATAACTTAAGTACTTGAACTATACATCCAGTTGACTTTCGTAGAAACATTGCAAATGACTTTCTCTGGAGGTTTCCAACACACATCATCAGTCAAATGATAACGGAGGCACTCAAGCATCTTTGTAATTAAAAGTTTTCCACCTAAGCAATATGCTAAAAGGCAATCGTAAAAAAGTATCTCACAGTCAGCAGAAATTAATGCCCCTCTTCCAGTCATAATCAGTAACCAAAATCATGAATGCAAGATTTTCATAAACTTCACACATAATTGGATTAGTAAATCACCATTTGAGTCCCCATATGCAACTTGAAATCAACAATGTTTGTCAGATGGAACAAGAGAAATTAATCCAACTTAAACTAAAAGGATTGTACTATTATTTGTTAGAAATATGAAAAATATTAAACAGAGAAAAACACAGGTGCAACCCGTGTTTCAGAGAGATGATATATATGAGAAAGAATGGGCAAAGAATAATTTGGTGTCCCCAAAGGCAATGACATGGCATATAAAACACAGGCTCATGTCTGCATCATAACAAAAAAGGGAAAAGATGACATATAAGGTTAAAAAAGACACAGCATGAACTCTCTTTAAGAAAATTTTCTCTTCATGTCAAAGTAAAAAACTATGTAGCATCTACTTATATAAATGTTCACTTGTTAGGAATATGTGACCAACATGTATTCTCAAAATTTAAGTTGGAACATACGACAAATAATAGTTTCCACAAATGTTAATATACCAAGCGGAGTTTGACAAACTGGGAGGACTGGAATGCAGACCCACCCGATTTGTGAACAGGGTTTACTATTGAGCGGTAAACCCTGTGAATCAGGTTTACAGCCTGTTTCAAGCCCACAGCCGCCACCTCCTCTTCTCCTTCTCTCATCCCGTCTCCTCTTCTCCTCCAGCGCCCCCTCTTCCCTCCTCTTCTTCAATGCCTCCTCTTCTCCGACTCTTCTCCTTCTCTTCTCTCACCACCTCTTCTTCTCAGCTACATTCCAGTGTACCATGTGTCGGTATGCCATAACGCTATAAAGGACTGGCCCCGTACAGGTGCAGCCATGGACCAGCATGAGTCTGGTATCCGAAATTTTATTTTTTGAATTACGAAACTAAGTTTGTCCGTAATTGATTGGCAAGTTTAGTTATAGCATTTGTGACCGTATATAATTGTCGCTTCACAAAGATTTGGAAGAAACCTAAATAATGTTTGTCCAGCAATCGAGGCAGAAAACAAAAGTTATCTGCTAAAACATGCAGCAACAGCAGCTTGTCAATAAAAAAGCATATGGCCAGGACTGTTTGGGTTGCCTGCAAAATTGTTTTTACGATCAATGCAGTTTTGTTGCAACAATATCAAAAGACGGTGCCTCAATACGTGAGGCTCCTGCTAATGCAGAGTTGTGCAGCCTAATGATGTCTACGGCAACATCAATAGCAGTAAATTTTCTTTTCTATTGCTTGCAATAGAGTTCGCTCAAGTCTTTCTCTACCTCTTTTGTTCCACTAATCCTAATTAACCCATCTTGTTTCTCTGATACGTCTACAGGTACATACATTCGCAGTCAGAAGGCTCAAAAGTCAAAACTACTCATTGTTATAAAATGTAGGCTTTATGTTTGGAGCATCAATCCCAGAATGAGAATGCTGCCTGCCTGCAAGAGTCCTACCCGCATGCTGCTGCAAGAGTCCTACATCAACAAGGAGTGGTCTACTCAACAGGAAATTAGTTTAACGAAGTATATCCTAAAGCTTCTGAGAGTCCTATGCCCACAAGTACATCATGAAAGAAGGCCAAAGAAACAAATATTTAAGTGTTGTTTTCCTGCTAGAACAGGAGTCAATAACCAGTGTGTGATGCTCAAACACTCTTTATGGACACAACAGAGCGTACAAATAATTTGTACAAGACACGAGCAGGTCCTAGGAATCTTTTTTATGCTTTAATTGAAGAAGTTATTAGTGTTAGTTTCACTAATCTAACTAGGAGTTTAGTTACTAGAAACAAAAAAAAAAAGAAAAAGAAATAAGAAGACTTTCTGAGCATAAAAGGATGTTAGGACATCTCTTTGTGGTTCCTTTGGTATTTTCAGTATTTTTCTGCAATAATATTAGTTTAATTTTGTAGCTTTAGTCTCTAGTTTATAGCTTGTGGACTTCTTTTCCACCTTATATTGAATTTGCATACCTAAGAGGCATTACTTCTAACAAATTCTGTTTCTGTTCTCCTAGTAACAGACAAATGCATTTAAAAATCCTATAAACTAGTGACACTAAATTTTTGTAATTGCATAATATTATAATCCATAAAAGATAGCTGGGTCACGTAAAACTGTCCTTTTGATCTGAGAGGCAATGACAATCACACAATCTTCATGCTGCCACCACCCCTCAAAAAGAAAACAATGAGATGTTTTTCTTGAGTCGAGTGTAAATTACTAAAACATAGTGTGTATAAAAGGCAAAACAATTACTTGAATACGGCGACAACGACGACTTCTAACACCCTGTTTTGCCAACTCAACTGCCTTCTGCCTTTCTTCAAGGCTTTCGTTGCTTCTTCCTTCTGCAAGAGAGTGTCTAGAGTTCTTAGAAACAGGATGGACACTTCCTCCATAGCCAACCTAAAAAAAGTTTAAATTATTATAAAACCAATATTGTATATAAGATAAAAGTAAATACTAGCAAGATGGCTAGTATAATTTAGGCTGAAAAATGTCTTGATGTTGACCAACTTTAATAAATCTAGAAAACTTGATGGAATATATCAACAAAAAATGTCAAACTGACAAGAGACCTGAACATCTATAGAAGAGGATATAAAAAATCGGTCTTTCAGTTATAAGCACTCAAATATGAACCTGAATATTATGATTTATTAATTGTTTCCTCTGTGACTCTTGCTTAGTTGTAGACTTACGAGGGCCGAAGTGCTTTTAAGATGCTAATTTTTCTAATTTAACAATTTGAATATTGTGCCAGGTTTTTTCCCTGGAAGGCCATATGGCATAGTTATCAATCTTGCTAGACAAGGTTTGACAACTTTGAGAGCAGTAAGAAACTATGTTTATAATCTAGCATGTAGGTTCAAGAGTATATAAGTTAAATGGAAAACCTTTGAGCCTTATAAGTACTTCCTATCTTGATGGTAGGCGCAAGTGCCTGAGAAACACTATTGACAATTGCATGTGCTTCATGCTCATTAAAAGCAACTAAACATGTATTTAGTAATTTAGGTCTTGTCGGTTAGTAAACATTGCACATACCACTACTACAGTGAAATTTTGCAGCAAGGTCAAATTTATCGATAACTACTAGAAAGAATCGAGAGGAAAATGAAATATAGTAGGATATCAAACCAACATTGTATCTCATTATGAAAGCCAAATTAATATCAAAAGAGAACAAGAACTACCTCTCCAGCTGTCTGAGCATTCTCAAGCATCACGCTGGCTTGCTTAGCCAGGTCAGAAGATAAGTGCACAAGCCGCTGTATGCACTTCTCCTTTGCTGTTTTGAGCACCCACAGTGGCTGATGCACATCGCGAACAAGCAAGGCATTAAGTCAGCCACTTCATGTTGGGACATCAAAGATATTGATGCAACATGACTTACAGTTACAAGATTGTTAGCATGACCCATGTATCTTTGGATAGAAGGACCTTCACAAACTATATGACTTGCACGACAGCCAATAAACCAGTCATTCAAGAAAGTAGCACCCTCTATTCTAGCTGCCTCAATAACCTGTTAAAAGTCAAAAGAATAAGTAACATCAGAGATATGCATTGCCAAATATATTCTTATTACAAAAGTTGTAAGGTCAACGGGAACGTGTTACAAAAGTTGGAAGGGAGAAAGCTTAAAACTGTTGAGTTTTCCATAATACCAACCAGCTTTCCTGACTACTAGTTTCCATGTCCAGTACATATGAGAAAATATCCAATGTTTCACCTGACAAAAGCAACAGTTTTGATACCAAAAAGGCTCCAGAGTCATTAACATAGTTATGCAACAAGCCTACCTAATTCCAAAAGTATGCTCCTGTTTACTCTTATGTATGCTATCTGGAGCATTTTAATTTCTAAAACTTGAATACATGGTCATTCCACTTTTCTTAGCAATAAGCCAAATCTAAACTTAAAAGTGTCTTGGTGGAAACATGTATAAACATGATAAAAATAAAAGGTTTATTGATGACATACGACGGACTAAAAATATCCAATGTTTCACCTGACAAAAGCAACAGTTTTGATACCAAAAAGGCTCCACAGTCATTAACGTAGTTATGCAACAAGCCTACCTAATTCCAGAAACATGCTCCTGTTTACTCTTATGTATGCTATCTCGAGCATTTTAATTTCTAAAACTTGAATACATGGCCATTCCACTTTTCTTAGCAATAAGCCAAATCTAAACTTAAAAGTGTCTTGTATGGATGCATGTATAAACATGATAAAAAGAAAATGTTTATTGATGACATATGACAGACTAAAAATATCCAATGTTTCACCTGACAAAAGCAACAGTTTTGATACCAAAAAGGCTCCACAGTCATTAACATAGTTATGCAACAAGCCTACCAAATTCCAGAAGTATGCTCCTGTTTACTCTTATGTATGCTATCTTGAGCATTTTAATTTCTAAAACTTGAATACATGGCCTTTCCACTTTTCTTAGCAATAAGCCAAATCTAAACTTAAAAGTGTCTTGAATGGATGCATGTATAAACATGATAAAAAGAAAAGGTTTATTGATGACATATGACAGACTAAAACCATCGAAGCATTAACATTAAACATGTTAAAAAGCAAAACTTGACCTTACACTCATCAACACATCTGCGAAGAGGTCAGTAAGAAAAGGATAAACTGAAATACCTTAACACAGCTAAATGATAGGCAAGGAACAATAAAGCTGCCCTAGAAATTAGGGACTAATTGCTGCGAATAGTTATATATATATTTTTAATCACTCAGTATGATATGACAGGAATGTGATTGTACTTGAAAAGTCCATGTTTCTTACCTTTTTCTTCAGCTCATCTGAAATTTCTGGATCAACAAAGATAAATTTGTTGGAAAACACAGATCCACCATTTGTATCTTCCTTCTTGGGAGGCTGTACTGGAGGTTGCCAAGCCTTACCTGAAGATTTTTCATCCCCTAAAGCTGGACTAGGAAGGCAGGACTTTGCACTGCCAGGAATGGCAACAAGTCGATTCAGTTCCCCTAATGGCAAGCCATTCCCTCCAATGGTTTTCACACTATATAGAGACTCACTCAGCCTCACTGTTGCAGGCAGAAGCAACAATTAACTATAAAAGATTTATTTGAACAGGGGCTCAAAAATCATGATGACTATAATTAAGAATACATTGCTTGAGCACTCCACAAAAATATTGAATATTTAAAAAGTCAAGTTTTAAAATGATAAAGATATTTTGAATGAAAATGAAAGTTTATTGTATCATTCTGCAACTAGATTGGTATAAAAATGTCATAATTAATGCTCACCATTTCTCTTTACACTGTCCACAAACCAGCCCAGAGTAACAATAAAAAGGCCATTCTTAGATCCATATTGCATCGCATGTTCGAATTTTCTCCCGTTAAAGCTGTACTATTGTCAAGGGCCAACAATAGTCTACGATTGAACATTGAATGTATCCACTGGGTCATTAAAGACAAGGAAAAATGATGCTATTGTTAAAATTTTGATGGTGAAAACTAGAATTCAACAGAAGCAGTAATCAATTGCAGCTCTTTATTAGGATATCTGCACAACTAGATGTGTGCATTGAGGATGCAAGCTTGCACTGTACTGACCACCTAGTCTCTCAGTCGCAGCCATAACTTCTTTTCTTGCCTCTGTCACACGAAAGGAAATGATGAGATTTTAAGTGCAAGATTCAGATGAAGTTTGCAAATGTCAGAAGTTGTAAGAGCACGTGCATGGTTAATTGGATGGCATATATGAAGAACACCCTAGAGATCAGAAGACTGCAAATAAATGGTGAATTGACAACAAACTCCTACAAGAAAAGCAAACTTGAAAGGTATTGCCCATATAGATATATTAGTCTCCAAGAGCACAAAAATGAAGTAATATAGAGCGACCTAATAACAAATTAGCTGTAACGAATTAGTGACCTTTAAGTAATGGTCTAAAGGAAATTTACCATTTTGGAAATAATATAATCAAAATCCAACATATGCATCAATATCTAAAAGCAAAAAAAAACACAATGTAATTTTATTAATAATCCTTCAATATAATAAAAGCTAATATCAAGTTCTGAAAGCATTTTTTACAGTAAAACCTAGTTGAGCTCCTAAAAAAATAAAAAAAAAAGACGCTCTTAACAAAATTAACAGAAAACATACATGAAGGAGAGCCAAACATATTGAGGCTTCTACGGACATTTATAGGACAGTGATCTTGACATCACATGGAGTGATTCCATGGGGAAACAAAGAAAGATGAAATTTAATTCAAACTTTTGAAGAACAAAATGAGAGCACGGTTGGAGGCCAAATCAAGTTGTTGTCAATATGACACCATGAAGAGTTTACAGTATGTACGAGACAAATATGAGACACTTTTTAATAGTTGAACTCTCAAGGATAATAAAAAAATAAAATAAAAACGACCACCCTAAATATACTCCGGCTCAAAGAGAATTTTGAGGTAGTCCACAACCAACAAGAGAAAGACCTAAGAAAAAAACGATTATACTCTTATTATGTTGATGCGTAATATCGATTTCCACAACAGTGATTGCAAGAGGAGCATATACATACACCAGAGAATGGAGTTTTAGAATCAAGTGAAGAAAACTAACATAAGCAAAAAGAAAGAAATTCTAAATACCTTTGGAGAGACCAGTAACACATATGACAAGACCAGCGAAAGGCCCATTGACCAGAGGAACAGTAGGCTCAGAAAGGGATGAAGAAGCAGGGGACATCATCGACATGAATCTCAGACTACTGGCACTCGGGAGGAAAGTGGAAGAAGCAACAAAAAGCCTTGAACAGCCCTTGCTGCTTACCACCTCCACACTACCACCCGTCATAGTAACGAAAATCTCTTCAACATGGTCAAAAACCCTCAATTTGGAGCACAGCGAGTATGATCTAATATCGCAAAACCACCTAAACCTTTCTCCTCTGTGATTCGAACATCAACATTCACCGTCACCTCTGCACTAAGAAAAGCCACGAATAATCTTAGAAAGTTATGGTAGAAAGCTCAACCTTTTCAACAATCTTTCTTCGGAAGTCAAGCAAAGAAAAAATTCTACAACCTATCCCAAAAGACCCAATCTTTCGAACTTCAAACTCCCGCCAAGATATCGGATCGCCGAAAGAAAAGACTGGTCCAGCTCTGATGTTTCATCGGTGAAGACCAAAAAGTAAACGTGCAGAACAAACACAAAGAAACCAAGATCCTACAAAATTACACCACCGAAACGCTCGAACAACATCAAGAGAAGCAGAAACGAGCTCCTATCCGGTGACAACCACCACCAACGGTAGCATCGCCGCAGAGCGATCCAAGGTGAAATGAAGCGCCCTCCACATGAAGACACGACCACAGGAAAAGGTTGAGATTCCGGTACCTGATAAAGATCGAGGCCGAGATCCGGAAATGATGAGGTCAAAGGAATTGGGGCCTTGAAAGAGGGGAAAGAAGAGGGGATGGAAGTCGCTGCTTTCGAGGATTAAAGGCGTTTCCTCGTCGAGAAGGAGAGAGGGGGCGAAGACTTCCCCGTGGCCTGTGGGGAGAGGAGGTTCCTTTTGCCGAGGGGGGAATGGGGGGGTGGTTTTAAATGCGGGTTAAGGACATTAACTTAAATGGACAATTAGTTCTGTGTTAATTTGCCCGTAATGTTAATTACTAATGAAGTAATTAGTTTTCTCTGTGATCCACTGTCCATCTCAAACAGGAAACAGCGAGTACCACTGACATCAGCAATTACTATGGCAACATTTTTAGTCTTCTAGTGGTTAATTATTTTAAAAGTATTTATCATTTCATGTCCATCAGCAGCATCTCATAATGTTGGATCTTTTTACAGTAATATTTATTTTTAAATTAATTATAAATATTTTAATTCTTATTTATAGTTTCTAGTAAAGTATCTCTAAATATTCATGAATAAAAATATATTTTTTTTCTATTGATAATCAAATCTATTCCAAATCTCACCACTATCAATTTTTAATTTTCCTTTTATGTATGACATGGCTTTTCTACTTTGATCATCTAATTTTTATTTTATTAATATTATTTTCATCTCTCTCTCTTTGGTTTTAGTTTTTTCCATTATCTGCTGAGAGCAGAGTAAATTAGTTTTGTGAGTTAAAAAGACAAAAAGCTTGTCGATCGTGGATGATATCTCGAGTCGTGTTGAGGCTTGTTTACTCTGCTTTCGAGGATGCGCCACATGTTGGGGCAATTATGGTTGCCCAACACCTTTCTTTCCTTGCAGTTCAAGGTCGTCTTCCTCAACAATAAAGCAATCGCAGCAATCAACACCATCACACACCTTGGCTCGGCAGCCGTTGACCGGAAAGAGTGCGTGCCGTCGACTGGGGAGAAGAAACACGTGCTCTGGATTGGACTGCAAACTAACTGACGCAGAAGCCATGGTAATCGAGCTCTCAACTGTTCTGTGGCAGCTTGCAGAAGCTACCGATCCAAGCTTAATAGGAGGCTCTACGGTTCATGTGATCTGCTGCTTTGTGCGATTCCATCAGCTCTTCCATTTTGTGACTGAAAGAAACAGAGTGCTAATGTCGTGGTCGGCCTACAAACAAACCGGTGCTATGAGATGCAAAACACATGGTTGGCTCCACTGCTCCGTGACAGCCACAGCTGCTGATCCAAGAACAAGCCGTGAGCTCTTCCATTTTGTGGCTGAAAGGAATATAGTTTGTCATCATGTTTCAATTCTTTCTGTCTAACATACCGACATCAGACTTCGTTTGTGTTACCAATGTTGATCCAACTTGAAGATGACCCATCACCAGCCATGGCAACCAGGAGAGCTCGCATAAATATGTTAGGTATGTGAAAGAACATGCCTGCCATAAAGTAGGTAACAGATCACCACCATTGGAATGAGAGGATGACAAGGTGTTTCGAGGGAGGGGAAAGAGGGGGATGAGAAGCAGACATGCAAAAGTGAGTGGAGTCCACGAAGTTGGAGGTGATGATTCCCTGCTGCAGCAAAACGAATCAAAAGGACGAGACCACAATCTGCAAAAGGAAGCTGGTGAGACGAGTGGAATGTGCTGTTGGTGCTGACCGTCAAACAGTATCCACACTCGATGATGGCCTGGACGTTCTCTAAAGAAAGACTGTTGTTTGAGCATGAGAACACTGCATGAAGCATTGGAAGAAAGAGGAGAGAAGAGTGATCTCCTCTTTTTGACCAAAGATAGGAGTCGATTAAATCTACAAAGTAATGATTCTAGAGAGAGAGAGAGAGACTTGACTCTGTGAGCAACATCCTTTTCCCTTGTTCTAAAACTTTTTACCATGGGACATCACTCCTTTTTTTTTCTTTTTAGTATGTATATATTTTACTCTCAAAAGAATAGTTACATAATCTGAACGAAACACTTGACTCACTAGTCAAACCTTAAAAAAAAGAAATTCAAATACACTCAATTCTAATGATATTAAATATTCAAATCCTATTAATTATTACGATCTAATATGATAAATTAATTGACCTATCAACTTCGATGAATAATCAATCCAAGGTTTAGTGTATTAATTAGATTCTTCATCTCCATCCCTATCATCTTCCTTTGTTCAGTGTATTAGTAAAATCATTTCGATAATATTATCAGATGCATGTTTATATTTGACATAATATATCATTATATTTATTTTTATAAAAAAAAATATATAATACATGCAATCCGATCCATATATATAAAATGGAAGTGGGCCATCAATGTTGAATGCTACAGATCCTTTCATGATAAGTCCTGTATGCATGCTTTTGTTCCCTTATTGTCAATTGTAACATTCGTGCCTGTTTTTGAGGCATTGCATCAAGCTTCATGCTGCATCAAAAAAGCACAGTGATTTACTCAATAATGTCTCTCTACAAAATACACAGTGATTTATCAAAAAAGCTTCTAGTTTCAGATCTTCAAACATACATACATACATACAAAAGGGAGAGGATTCCAACACAAATCACATTTTTCTTTATTCATATTTCCACCTTCCAAGATCAATGAGTGTAATATCTCAAAAATAGACCCTACATTATATCTTTTAGCAACTTCAATAATATGAAGCTTAAGTATGGTATTAGAGAACTAAAAATACTTACTGAACAAATTAGAAATGAAAATTTATTACTGCCTTGCAATTGGCAATTTCATCAGCTGCTAAATGGCACATAAAGATTGCTCTAAAAGAAAACAATAACAAGTTCGGGACCATGCCATGACCTTATTTCCAATTACCTTTGTCGACTATCTCAATGCATTTGAGAAGTAGGCAATTATAATTTAAGAGTATTGCAGTTTCACTAAAGTGAACTTTTAGAATCACAATGTTTCCGATAGCAAAGAACTACAGCTGACTTGGAGAACTCCCTGACAAAGTGCTCAATCAGAAATCAGCTTTTGATAACTAGCTCATACTTGTGCCACAGGGTAGAGATAGACCTCTGCCTCCTTAGCTGGGAAGAACAAGGTAGTTGAGGAAGGGTTCTGCATGGGGACCAAGAGCTTTCAGATCAGCGAGCTTGGCTAGCTCAAAATCCTCAAACTGGAAAGCAGGGGCACATGTGCAACCAACAAGAGAATAATGCGACTCAGGATCCCTTTTCGGGCTTTTCACAAGAAGACTGCCATCAGATGCGAACGATGCGACATCTAATGTTGGGAATGAACCAAACCAAACGTTCGGTGTCACAGTGTACTGGGGCCGATGACCAGCATCTAGATCTGAACCAAGAACAGTCAATTCGATATGCCCATCGTCATGTAGCTCGAAGATCTGATTAAGATACATGCCAGGAGGCACAATGAGTTATAAATGGTTACAATCATGTAGTAACAATATGCAGCATACGCAAGAGCTGGATATAGTCTTGTCACCATAAGAGGTTCTCCAGTGTAGAAATGCCAGGTTTCAGCACAAGGGATGCGGTGCAGATGTGAGACACTTCCCGAGGGAAGCAAGAAATAGATTGATGTGCTCACAGGACGATCGACCTTGTCTGCAGATATTTTGTCAGAAGCTCTAAACTGCCAAGCTATTTATCTACGAATTGCAATAACATAAGGCAAGAATACGAAGATGTGTAGGTGTACTGCAGTGACATAGTATCTTAAAATTAATCCGAGTTTGTATTTTTACCTATAGACTCTCTTTTGATGTCACTTCAAAACCTTTATCATCTAGGATTTCATAGTGCTCTCGGAAGAGTTCAGTGGTGGGAAAAAAATCCCACATAGTTGTTGTTGTGTGTTGTTGACAGCCAATATTTGAATAGGTGTATATGATGATGGGTGAAAACGACTAATGATTGTGATCATCTTATGTAGGTCAATCGAATCCCATTTGATCTTTGGAAATCCAGGCATTGTGTTAATGCTTGATACTTACACATCCGAGAAATATATACAAAGTTATCGCTTGGACTAGTGAGCCAAGTTATATTGTTTCAGAGGCAACATGGACAACTTCTCTTTTCTAAGTGTAATTAATATTAGATAACCAAGATAAAAGAAAAAAACCATCTGAAAGTTTTGCTATAACTTAAGTAAAATTAACTAGCCCTGAGAAAAGTTGACTGACACACAGGTCAACTAAGCAAAAAATAAAAAATAAAAAGATGATATCATTGGAGAGCAAACACTTTTAGCTTTTGCCACTTTGACCTTGTATTGCTTATTCAGATTTTCACAGCTACTAGCGGAGATATAAGGAATACATAAACAAAAATGTCTTTTTAGGCAGTCTTCTGCCTAATTTTTGTTAAGTCCCTCAGCATTCACAAGTGATAAACTTTAAACTGAATTTTACCTTTGAGAAGATCATCAGTAACACAACATATATTTAAGTTTTGTCTGATATTTTCATGTTATGATAAATCAAACTAAAAAAAAAAAAAGATGCAACATCAGTCTCATGCAGTGTGAATCAAGGAAGAATCCAAAAATGACAGTTTGGGATAATGATCATGTCTGATTATATTTATGGAACTAAATGACTTATCACATAATAATCATGGATGACACTTGTGCTGAAAAGGACTTGCTGTATTCTACAGCATGCAGGACAGGATCGAGACCTACTCCTATCTGTTATAGCATAGTGAACATGTGAAGGTAAAAGTTTGTTGCAATTGTCTGACCGCTGATAAATCATACATAGCAAAAATTGGATGGAAGACTATGGAAACCCATCATTCAACGGTTTGATTGATAAGCACGGCCCTTGCCAGAAAATTAAAAAAACATTTTGGGGTAAGGGAAAGCAGGAGAGTAAGAAATGTATCAGACTGATGCATCCCGGGGCTAAAAAAGGAGGACCTAACAGGCAGGGAAGCTGAGATCATAAGGGAGACGTGAAATCCCTGACTGTTTATGGAATTCAAGAACACAGATGACAAGACAGAAGATCAAATGTTGAAAACAAGAGAACTGTCATCAGTAGTCGTGACAATACCAACCGATATTGGCTACCAAAGCAAAGACCAACAGCAATTTTGTGATCTAACCATAGATTTAGTGCCACAATTCGAAGTCAAACTGGTGGCTGCCCATTCTAAATGCCCAAACAGAGTTAAGGCCAGCTTAAAACTCCCACAAGAAAATAACCTGCACTTGTCTTTGGAATCGGAAGCGGATAGGCCAGAAAACAAGAACATGTACCGGTGACCAAACTAGTCCATCCATGAAAAAAGAGGGATCTCGGAGGAGGTCTTACAGCGGGGTGGCAGCTGAGATTTGCCGAGGGTGATGGAGAAGTCCCTGAAGGTCTCCGAGTAGAAGCCACCTTCGGGGTGGGGCTTCAGATCCAACATCTCGGCGACCTCGGAGGCCGTCTTGCTAGAGCCCATCCCCAGATCTCCCGCAGCTGCGTGCGCCACCGGGAAAGGTGCACGCTTTCCACCTGCGTCCCTTTTGACCATCTCGATGGAATATACTTAGGTATCTCCCTCTAGTAATAATAATAATGATAATAATAATAATAATAATAATATAACAATTATTATTATTATTATTATTTGAAGATAAAATTCAGCATACATCATCATATCACAAGTTCACCGTGCAACAACATGTAGCGAGCACATATATCATGCAAAACACTCATCCATAAGCAATCGATCATCCAGTAAACCATAAATATCAACAACAATTGACCTCATTAGTCAAAGAGGAAACGTGCGGGCATGATGATGTCTTGGTTTCCAAAAGGATTAAGATCATCGTAAGCATCAACGTCAATTGGTATCATGATCACCATTATGATGATGAGGATCACCAACACCATCAGACGTACAACATTTCATCGGTCTGACATATTGATTACAAGAAACTCAAAATATGGAAAATGATCATACTGATTTTTTTAAATGGTATATTTTTGTGTAAAAATGTTCTTTTATCGAACGCATAATAGGTTTCACGAAACAATAAAATTTCTCGGTTGTTGCTCAAAATAAAGATGGAAAAGAAAAAGGGTCAAATATACCTTATTATTATTATTATACTAAAAAAATAGTCTTTTTATAAAATGAATAAATAAATAAAAAACATTTATGTTACACATCATAATAAATCTGTAAACCTCATCCGCTTCTTCGCTCTCGCGCCTCAATCGCTGTGTCCTCTCCCAAAGCCATTCTCATGCCACTAATGGCGATCGCCGTCCCATCGCCATTTCTCCCCCTCTCCTCTCCGTCGCCCTCGTCCTCCTCCTCTTCCTCCCGCTGCTCCACCTTCACTGCCGCCGCCTCGTCCTCGTCCTCGTCCGCTGCTGCCGCCGTCCCCGCGGAGCCCCATCCGCGCCCCCGTGAGTTTCATTATCCACGCGCCGATCCCTCCGTCCGCTGGCCCCATCTCAAGCTCGACGACTTCCTTGGTCCGCCTCAATTCCCTGCCCCCTCCACCCCAGCCCCCCTCTCCATACCCGAGGAACCCGACGCCCGTCCCGTTCCCCCCGAGGTCCCAAGGACGGACTCTTTCGAGACCCTGGAGAGCAAGCAGAGCCGGACGCGCGCGAAGAAGATGACGAAGCTCGCCCTCAAGCGCGCCCGCGACTGGCGGCAGCGCGTCCAGCTCCTGACCGACCAGATCCTCGCCCTCCCCCCCTCCGCCCTCGTCGCTGACGTGCTCGACGACCGCCGGATTCAGATGACCCCCACTGACCTCGCCTTCGTCGTCAAGTTCGTTGGGCGTTCCAGCTGGGCCCGCGCCCTCGAGGTGTTTGAGTGGCTCACCCTCCGCCGCCGCCACGCTCCCGGCCCCCGTCTCCTCGCCGCCATCATCTCCGTCCTTGGCCGGGCCCACAAGGATGCCCTTGCTGCCGAGGTATTCCAGCGTTGCAACCCCGATGACGGAGGCGCTGGCGCTGATGAGCTCTCTGTCCAGGTTTACAATGCAATGATGGGGGTTTACGCTCGGACCGGGAGGTTTGCCAAGGTCCAGAAGCTGCTGTCCTCGATGCGGGACAGGGGTCTCGAGCCCGACCTTGTCAGCTTCAACACTTTGATTAACGCCAAGGCAAAGGCGGGATCCTTGGCTCCTGGCTTGGCGCTGGAACTACTCCAGGAGGTCAGAAGATCTGGTCTGAGGCCTGATGCCATCACCTACAACACCCTCATCAGTGCTTGCTCCCGTATGTCCAATTTGGAGGACGCCGTAAGCATTTTCAAGGACATGGAGGCCTCTGAATGCCAGCCTGATCTCTGGACGTACAACGCCATGATCTCAGTGTTTGGCCGCTGTGGGATGATTCTAGAGGCTGAGCGGCTCTTCCGAGAACTAGGTAACAGGGGCTTCTCACCGGATGCTGTCACATACAATTCTCTGCTTTTTGCTTTTGCCAAGGAGTGTGATGCGGAGAAGGTTGAGAGACTTTGTGATGAGATGGTGAGAGCAGGCTTTAAGAAGGATGAGATAACCTATAACACCATAATCCACATGTATGGGAAACAGGGTAGGCTTGATTTAGTAGTTCAATTGCATGATGAAATGAAAAATGTCGGCTGCAATCCTGATGCAGTGACCTATACAGTGCTAATTGATTCTCTTGGAAAAGCAAATAGGATAACAGAGGCAGGGAAGGTGATGTCGGAAATGGCTGATGCAGGGGTGAGGCCTACATTGAGGACTTTCGGTGCTCTGATTTGCGGGTATGCCAAGGCAGGCATGCGGGTTGAGGCAGAGCATACGTTCCACCGTATGGTCAGGGCAGGCATCAAGCCTGACCATGTAGCTTACTCAGTAATGTTGGATATCATGTTGAGGTCCAAGGAAATGCAGAAGGCAATGGTATTGTACCGGAGTATGATGCGAGATGGGTTTAGGCCAGATCAGGGCCTTTACCAGGCTATGTTTGGGATTCTCGCAAAGGGAGATGATGACGGAAAGATAGATGAAATTATTAAGGACATGGAAGTTGTGTGCAAGATGAGTCCACAAGAGGTATCCAGAATTCTTGTCAGGGGAGGATGCTTTTTCCAAGGAGCTGAGATGTTAAAGAAATCTGTTTCCTGTGGCTTTGAGCCTGATCGTGAGTGCTTGTTATCTATTTTAGATGCATTTGCAGCATCAGGGATGCAAGCAGGTGCACTATCTCTGCTTGAGTTTTTACGAGAACATGCACCTGATTCTAGTAGCTTGATAATGGAATCTTCAATAGTCATGCTTTGCAAAAATCACCAATTGGAAGATGCCATGATGGAGTACAACAAGATGAAAATGTTGAATTTTGGGCAGTTTGGTCAATGTTGTAGCCTTTATGAGTACATGATTGCATGCTTTGAGGAAGCTGGATTTCTGTGGGAAGCTTCTCAATTATTTTCAGATATGAAGTTTCTTGGTCTTGAGCCTTCACAAGGTATCTACAAGAGTTTGATCTCCATATACTGCAAAGTGGGTTTCCCAGAAACAGCTCACAACGTGGTAGATCAGGCGTCAAGGGCTGGTATATCTTTTGATGATACTTCAGTTTCTGTCACTTTGATTGAGACATATGGGAAACTAAAGCTGTGGCAAAGGGCAGAAAGCTTTGTTGGTAAACTCAGACTGCATGATTTTATCGATCGGAGTATCTGGAATGCTCTTATTTATGCTTATGCCGAGAGTGGTCGCTATGAGCAAGCAAGGGCAGTCTTCAATATGATGATTAAAAATGGTCCTTCACCAACTGTAGATTCCATCAATGGCCTCATGCATGCTTTGGTTATTGATGGGAGACTAGACGAGCTTTTTGTCGTCGTTGAGGAGCTGCAAGATATGAATTTTAAAATAAGCAAAAGTACTATTCTTATTATGCTTGATGCATTCATAAGAGCTGGAAACATCTTCGAGGTAAAGAAGATATACAATGGCATGAAGGCAGCTGGATACTTGCCTACCATGAATGTGTACAGTAGTATGATTACTTTGCTTTCTCGTGGAAAAAGAGTCAGAGATGTTGAGGCGATGGTAGCGGAGATGGAAGAAGCTGGATTCAAACCTGATCTCAACATCTTCAACTCACTCCTTAAAATGTACACAAGCATTGAGGATTTTAGGAAGACATTGGAAATATATCGGAGAATTCAAGAAGCTGGCATTGAGCTGGATCAAGATGCTTACGATACCCTTTTAGTGATGTATAGTAGAGATGTGAGGCCTGAAGAAGGATTTACTCTTCTAAATGATATGAGGAAAAAAGGCCTGGAGCCAAAATTAGATACCTACAAAAGTTTGTTGGCTGCATGTTGTAAGGAGCAGCTTTGGGAACAAGCAGAAGAGCTTTTTAAGAGCATGCAATCAAAGGGATACAGACTAGATCGCTCTTTCTATCACATAATGATGAAAGTATATAGAAATTCTGGCGACCACTCTAAAGCCGAAAACTTGCTCTTTCAAATGGAGGAGGTTGGTATTAAGCCGACGATTGCCACGATGCACATGCTTATGGTTTCTTATGGCTCTGCTGGGCAGCCTCAGGAAGCAGAGAATGTACTAAATAATTTAAGAAGTTCTAGTCAGGAACTTACTACATTACCTTATAGTTCTGTTATAGATGCTTATCTTAAGGTTGGTGATTATAACATGGGAATTACAAAGTTAATGGAGATGAAGAAAGATGGTGTAGAACCAGACCACAGGATATGGACATGTTTCATTAGGGCTGCAAGTTTGTGTGAGAAAACAAATGAAGCTATGCTTCTGCTTGGTACATTAGGAAATAATGGTTTTGATATCCCTATAAGGTATGTTAGGTGCCTTTTTTTTGTCACTTTGATCTAAATCATGACCTGTAACGAACTTCTATTTTGGAAGGCTTTTGACCGGGAAAGCTGAGTCACTATTCATGGAGGTGGACCATTTACTGGAAGAATTAGGGTCTCTTGAGGATAATGCTTCCTTTAACTTTGTCAATGCGTTAGAAGATCTTCTTTGGGCATTTGAGCGCCGTGCAACTGCGTTGTGGATATTCCAACTAGCAATCACTAGAAACATATATCGTCATGATGTCTTCCGGTACGTCTAATATTTTCCTTTTGCAATATCTTTCCCATTAGAGTGTATTTTCATTCCTGACATTAGAAAAAAATTCACATGCATGCTTCCGGTATAGTAGAACTAGGATAATGATTCAATTTCTTTTAGGATTAAGTTGCTGAAGATGGTTTTGACTTGTATCGTGCTCCACAAGGTTCATGTTCTTGTAGAGGGGCTTGCTATTGAAGCATTTTCATTGGCTGGTGCAGTAGTGGGTTGGACTATAGTTTAGGGCTTTAGTTTGATGAAGTTTGCTTGTTTTTCCAACATAGGCTACACTTTTGACTAAGCATTCATTTTATTTTTTTTAACAAGTGTAGCAATAAGATGTTTGAACAATCCCTTCAAAGTTATGGTTGTATTGACTATAATAAAAAGTAAAGGAGCTTTAATTAGCATTTACACTAATTACTCTCATTGTCCCATGTATTTTCTTTTATATCCATCCCCACAAGAACCTTTTGGTCGATATTATATTGTTCCTACAGGACTGAACTGTGATGGTATAAAAAGTTAAGAAACATTTCTTGGTTGTCCTATTTGGATCTAGATTTTTTGGCACACTTAGGTTTAGCTGTTTAATCATTTAGTTGTCTTATATGACTTCTTTTAATGAGCTTGTCCTGCTGTTTCTGTTTATTGCAGAATGTGTTTTTTTTAACCCTTGTGGATGGCACCTGGACTAATTAAAACTGTTCTCTGAGAAGAAAAATAGGTAAAATAAACAGAAAAAATGTGGAATACTAGATCATAGAGAAGTCAAATATCAAACTTGTGGACAATCATATAGGGTGAGGCCTGCCAACTGAGGTTTTCATTGTCATCATCATAATCTAATGTGATAAAAACCAGTTACGACAAAAATGGCATGCTTTAAATTTATCTTAAACATAAGTGGTCTGTCTCTGGGTAAGATTTTGCATATGTAAAGCTTTTCAGTTTTTATTTCCTTGATGTTATAAACCACTATTGAATTAGAATTATAATTTTGATGTTAGCTCATGTCAAATATTGCACCATTTGAGCACTTTATGGAGAACTTCCAGTCATTGTGTCCGCTCTTCTATTTGAATTGTTATTCTGCAGTTCTGTGTTATGTGCTATTATCTAGCACTGGACTTAGTACCAAGTTTATCAGCTTAATGGTCAAAACAATGGTGTAGGGTTGCAGAAAAAGATTGGGGTGCTGATTTCCGGAAGATGTCAGCTGGTGCTTCTCTTGTTGGACTTACCTTGTGGCTTGACCATATGCAGGTATGTATTTTATTCCTTCACATGAACTTCACGTGTTATTCTCGACTCTATGCATATCAATTGCTGCTGTTTTGCACATATGGGTTAAATTTTTGCTTTGAATTACATGTATGTTACAGTAAGTCCATGTAGGCAACATCATGATTGTGAGAATTGGTCTTACTCATTTGAAACTAGAACAAAACTCTCATCCCTAAGGTTACAATTCACACCTTACCCTTCCGAAGTTTTCCCCTTTTCCCTACTTCTTATTATCAATATATTTTCCATAGTATAATATTTTTCTTTGCTCATGAAATTGTGAACCATTATTCTCTTGTTGATATCAGAGTGCCCACTATCACCTATCTGCCAACATGTATGCTACTCCACCTGTAATTATTAGGCCTAGTCAAACAGCTACTTGCGGTAACTGTTTCCCCGCACATGGCTGCTCCCACCTTGTTGTAAACAATTCTTGATGGTTACATGCCTGCCCTCATGTCTCTTCTTTCTCTCTTCATTGAAGAAATAGAAGGCCTTTCGCACTAAATTAAATCATACCAATCACAGGTTCTTGTAGCTCTGCATGTGTAAGGAGAATACATATTGGAACCATTGGCATCACTCCTTGGGAATTCTAAATTAGATGAGAATCTGATTAAATTCTTGATTGGTGTAACCTACCAAATGCTAGTCACTATTATTCAGGCCGAATTGTAAGATATTTCGACTTGTATTTGGTTGGTTTCACCTACCAAATACAAGTCACTATTATTCAGAACAAATTGTAAGACATTTTGGCTCGCATATGGTCCAAACAACAATATAGAAATTCAAAAAGGGTTCAAATGAAAATAATCCCTAACCTTATTAGAGTAGCACAGATGCACAAATTTATGGTGTCATAGTACAATGGGCTCCCTTGTGAAACGTATTCAAAGACTACTATTTCTTTGTTAATTTATAACACACATAATAAAGTCTTTTAGCTTCTTCAATTCTCATCTCGAGCTTTTTCTGCTAAGAGGAACCACTCTTCTTCAGGTAAACAAGTTTCTTTGATCGTATCTCTAGGATGAATATTTTATGCAACAGAAGATTTATGAGCATGCTAAATAGTCTTGCCGTATCCATTTGTAAATCCTTAAAGAAAAAAAAAAAAAAAACTCTGGATTGTCCTAGTAGCAAGTGGTTCTTCTTGAAGCAAACTGAGAGGTTTCTTCAGGTCGAGTTAGCTGACAGGTTCAATGAAAACCTTGTTTTAGAGTAGATGGGCAAGTCCAATGAACTTCACAACTATGTGACTGATCATGTGAACTTGGCTAATTCTGAAGTTCCGGATGTTTCTAAGAGGAATGTCATTCTTGTTCTCTTTGCGGTGCATTCAGATGCAAGCATAATAGATATGTGTAGATAAACACATTTGTATACGTGTTTGTATGCATGCACATATAGCCACACACAAGATAGGCATTTGTGCTAGGTGTCAATAGAATACGTGTAAGATCTGGAGGGAAAATGTGATAGTAGTCCTCTGAAGGTCTATCTTCATTGGTAAAGCTGCATGAATGAGGAACTCTACAATTGAGTTAACCAAGGATTATTGTGTAAAATTGCCATCTGTCGACAGAGATTGAAATGATTGTCTAAAAGGTCTGGCACGTGGCATGTCAACATATGGCTACGTCAATTTTGGCCTGTACTGGCCAGCGTAGGAGCATGCTTACTCATGAAATGATACATTGCTTGAAAGGTATAGGTACTCTTCAATGCCACAACATGATAATTCTTGGATTCAACAGATATACACATAACTAAACCAACGTATCAACAATTTTTTATTTAATATGTTCCAGTTAACTATTGAGTTTTTCTTAGAGGGGTTCCCTGTGTGTTGACTTTCTTTTATAAATGTAGTGATTTTCAAGTAGGAGATTTTCGCAAAACAATAGTAAGCTGAGATTTTGAGAAGTCTGTATTCAGTTACTGGATATTGAAGAGGCTTCTTACTCTGTATAGATGCTCTTGCTTTGCAGGAATAAGCTTCAATGAGTTTGTTCAACTGATAATAAAATCATGTTATACTTGTGACTCAATTTTGTCTTTCATATTCCTTTCTAGTGATGTTGTTAAAGACCATTGAGGATTTAGTTTGCCTCAAACTATTGAGGATTTGTTTTCACTTTCACTACCATAAGGTATTCTTGCATACTTTCTTTTTTTGCACCCAAACTGCAGGATGTGGCATCTGATTAGCGCTGTAAACATTGCAACAGGATGCTTCATTGCAAGGGTCTCCTGAGTCACCAAAGTCTGTTGTCTTGATAACGGGAACTGCTGAATACAACATGGTTTCCTTGGAGAAAACTCTAAAAGCATATCTTTGGGAGATGGGCTCACCTTTTTTGCCATGCAAAACACGTAGTGGGGTCCTTGTGGCAAAAGCTCACTCGCTTCGGATGTGGCTGAAAGATTCTTCTTTTTGCTTGGACCTTGAGTTGAAAGACACGACTTCTCTTCCTCAGACCAATTCAATGAAGCTCACAGAAGGATATTTCATGAGAGCTGGTCTGGTCCCAGCCTTTAAGGATATACATGAACGACTAGGACAAATAAGACCAAAGAAGTTTGCTAGGTTGGCCTTATTGTCGGAAGAGAGCAGGGACAAGGTCATCCAAGCTGATTTAGAAGGCAGAAAGGAGAAGATGGAAAAATTAAAGGAAAAGGCAGTTGTTCGGTCAAGGAAACCAACAAGATTCCACAGGAAATATCTTAGGCGTCAACATAAAGCACAAACAACTTCAAATTAATGAAAGTTGTTGTTCTGCAGAAGCTTTGAAATCTCATTACTATTTAGCTTCCTATTCATACCTGTCAGGCATCTGAGCAGTTAAGGTTGAAATTTGTTGGTATTGTTCTTTGTTGCGTTTATATCATTAACCATACTTCTGAAAGCTCATCTGAAATTTAACAGATGGGATTTTGAGGAATGGATGAGCTCTGGCCAAAATGCCAAGGAACTTTGGTTGGTCAGCCTCGGGTTCTTAGCTTGTTGTTGCTCTTCCCCTGATTATGGTCAGTAAACTGTCTGCTAAGCTGTAGTCGTAAATACTTATTCCGGAGGTGGATTTAGATCAGATGAAATTTGATGCCTTGTATGGTTCTGTGCAGTCTTGAAGCTGATGATCCCGTTTGCTCTACTTCTTCACATGAGAATGCGGGTTAGTTCAGCTTGGGCTTTTGCCAGTCAAATCAAATTGGCTGCACCAGGTATAAAGGATGCTGGATCTTTTCATGTAGAAGGCTGGTACATGTGCCATATAAAGATATTTTGTGATTTTTATAAACCGTAGTTCCTGCTCTGATTAAAAAAGTGCACCTCCTGGTAACCTTGGTACCACATTCTATCCGAAGAAAATTTTAAATGATGCTTTAGATCACCATCCTGTTTAAGGTTATCTTGCAGTTATGTACATGATCGATTCATCTGTCTTCTTAAATTGTTCATTTCTTATTATCCCTTGAATTTGTTTATGCAGTGGAACAAGGCAAATCTTTCTCTTTCCATACAAAATACTTGTTGGCAGAACTCATTCTTCAGTGATCAGTGTGATTGATACACACTCCAAATATGCGGCCAGTTATTACAATGGATCAAATGCTCTGTTCTGGAAATTATGAAGCATTGCTCGTCTCCATTGACAACACTCACAGGTAAGCTAATTGAAAGTGTCTTGATCCATGTTTTGCTGTTTGGTGCATTATTTCTGTTTGTTAGTCTTAAGAGTCTCGTAAATGCCAACGAAATTATGCAAAATCTATTCCAGTTCATTGTCGAAAAGAATGAATGATTCTATATATATATATATATATATATATATATATATATATATATTCCAAGAGGATCCGTCTACTTGTTCTAATAAGCTATCTTGCTTGGTTGGTGTTGGATAGATAGCACATGGTAGTACTGCTTCGAACATGATTACTCTTTCATCAATTCTGAGTTAATTTTTGCTTGATCGTTGATAGTTTCATTAAGACAACATAT